GCTCTAGAAATGAGTTTGAAAGAAAATATTGTCATGAAAAAAAGTGGAAGAAACTGTTATGTTACAAAATTTTAACTTGAAGGATTATAGTGAAGAAACTTGCACTGTAATATGTTTCACTTGCAAAATAGTATAGAAATTGCTGTATTGCAAGAAATGTTTCATTGAAGAATTATAAAAAAGATGCCAGTAGGCTACTAAGCATTTCACTTGAAATATTGTAAATGGGGACACTTCATTAGGAAGAATCTAAGAAAGAAACTGGTACTGTAAATCACATTTATTTTGAAGAAGATAGAAAGAAGAAATTGTTTCAGGGCAGATACTGCTATGGTGCAACACATTTGAATGAATATAGGGAAGAAAACGCGTGTTAAAAGAAGATGTTTCTCTTGAAAGAATATATCGGAAACTTCTATATTGCAAGAAATTCCCATTCAAAGGAAGGGAAATAATCTGGTATGTTGCAAGAGATTTTGATTAAAGGCTTATAAAGAAGAAACTGCTTTATTACAAGAGATTTTGATTAAAGGCTTATAAAGAAGAAACTGCTTTATTACAAGAGATTTTGATTAAATGCTTATAAAGAAGAAACTGCTTTATTACAAGAGATTTTGATTAAAGGCTTATAAAGAAGAAACTGCTTTATTGCAAGAGATTTTAATTGAAGGCTTATGAAGAAAATGTTTTATTGCAAGAGATTTTAATTGAAGGCTTATAAAGAAGAAAATGTTTTGTTGCAAGAGATTTTAATTGAAAGGCTTATAAAGAAACTGCTTTATTGCAAGAGATTTTAATTGAAGGCTTATGAAGAAAATGTTTTATTGCAAGAGATTTTAATTGAAGGCTTATAAAGAAGAAACTGCTTTATTACAATATGCTTTTATTGAAGAAACTAATGTGTTGTAAGAGATTTTGCTTCAAATTAGAGTTGTACTTGTAAGAATGGTGGAATGGATGGATGTTTTGGAAACTCTCACATGAAACACAAGACTACAGTGTAAAAGAAATAAGAGACTAAAAGTTTTGATTGTTGCATTTCTTATATAGCTTAAAACAATTAGATCTTTAATTACATTTCTTAGAAGATGCAATGTTTAGAATGACAAAATTGTACTTTGAAAATGTTTCACCTCTGCAGGGTGTTTTAAACTGACTGAAATATAATATTTTTATTTTACAGAAGATAGTTTAAAGTAGATAAACAAATGTACATAGGATAAGATGATAAAAGCTTATGCACCATGTTTAGGAAACTAGTTTTAAAGGAATTCATTGGCTTTAGTTGTATTTGTTGGTTCGTTGGTGTTTTAGTTATACTTTTGAAAAGCATGATATTCTAACTATTAATGTTCTTATAGTACAGTTATTGATATGAATATAATAAAATTTAAAACTACCTGTACAGGTGTTTTTCTGAAGTAGAGTGTGTTGTTTTGAGCTGACCTTATAAAGTACTTTATAACTACATGTTTGCTGATTACACTGGTCAAGTAAGGCTATACCATATTAAAATCAAAGTACTAGTTTATTGAGGACTAGCTCTGCTGAAACAACTGTTCTGTTGTTGACTGGACAATATTTCTTGTACTGCTAGGTTCTTCTTTTTTACTTCCCAACTTAAAGCTTCTTTTGTACATAGCAGTAGAGACCTGACAAGACTGTGTTGATTAAATACTTCAGTGCATGTACTTGGTATCAAGCCCGATGTAACAGCTTGTTAGGTCACTGTGAAGTGTTTTGTGCCTTATACATTGTGAGTTTCTTGTAATAAACTGTAGTTGGTCCCCCTCCAAAAGGTTTATCTTTAAAATTAGTATTTCCCACTCTATGGTAAGTCTTGTTCTAAGTTTACATAATTTAATGTTTAATGTAAAATTAGTCAAAAATAATTTATTTGTTAAATCGCTTGAATGTTTTAAGCCATGTTGTAATAATGGTTAACATAAGTTGTTTTGCAAATATCTTAAGACAAGTTATGAACAAAGTTTACATAATTATATGGTGTAATTATTACAATAACTTTCTGATGGAAATTTTGAAATACTAATTTATATATCTTAATATGCATTGCATACCAGATGTGTGTGTATGTGTCTTATTTGTTGCATTATGATAGTTGTAATAGCTCATACCACGTAAAATGTAAATTACCTGTAAATGATGAACATTCAAGATAATAAATTGAGACTGAACAAAAATATTTTGATTGTAAACAATTACGTGAATGCAAAGTTAAGGTTTTTATAGTCAATTGGGATGTAATAAAATAAGTTTTATGTAGGGTTTACATTTTACTGGTAGAATAGGCTAAATTATACTTGATCAATGAGTACAAAACTTCATCATATTACTTTTTTAGTTGTAGTTCAAGCTAGTTACCTTTTTTCTGTAAAAAACATATAACATTCCTATATTCATGAGTATTAACTGTATTCAATCTTTTTCCCTCATTCGCAATTTAAACTAAGGCAGTATTTTGAGGTAGCAGCAAAGTAAATTCTAAAACAAAAAACTATTATAAAAAGTGCATATAAGGGCAAGCTTTTAAGTTGTGGTGTTTGGAATATTCTACAACCTTAACAGAAAATAATACTTTTAATGAATCCATGCTATGTACTAAGTTAGTAGGTATGCATCAGTATTATACACCTTCTGAATATATGTGGAAATAAAAAAGGTTGTTGACCGTTTTCCATGCCATTTATTGTTTTATGCAGAAATATATATATTATGCCCTTAAATGTTAGTATTTTCATAAATGTTGTTTTCAAACAGTTCATGTGCAAAAAATAAAGAATTGTGTTTAAATATCTCGTATAACTTTTGTTTTTAAAGATATTTCTAGTATGTCTTATGAGCCAAAGTATCATGTGGCTGTAATTTCACTGTGATCTTTGATTACGAGAAAGTATTGTAGGACAAGTTATGTAAAGTTTTGGTAAAATGGGAACATATATGTGCACCCTGTAAATTCAGAAATTACTCACTCTATCCCTCAAGTATAATTTTAAAAAATGTTTAAATTATATTTCACTCAACTTTACCTTGCTGTTATCAAGAATAAAGAGGTTTTGACAGGTGGTGCACAGTTTGCTGAACTGTGTATCAGGTTTAGAAGTTGGAAGTAGATACTGTGAAATATTTACCTTGTTTTTTATATATATTACCAATTATATTTTAGCAGACTGAACACAGTCTAAGAACAATTTTCTTTAACAAACACTGATAATTTAAATTCAGGACTAGCAAAGGAGAGTATTTTTCAATCAGTTTTGTACATAACTGTGTATCCCTAGACAAGAGATGGACAAAAAAATTATTTTAGTATTTTTTAAGAATCTTGTCCCTGTTTTGTTTGATACAGAAATGTACAGTGTTTCCAATTTGTAAATATTTGCTGACAACTGGAGCAAGAATTTGACATTATTTAATGTTTTATTTATTTGTGCTAAACAGTGAGCATTTTTTGTATGGTCTGTCATATTATTTTACAAAAACACTCAACTAAAAGAAAAAAGTTGGCTTTTTCTGAAATAATTCAGATTATTCTCCTGGTGTGAACTAAAAATCCAGTCGTTGGTTGTATAATTTTAAATTTTCTAACTAACTATGATCAGAATCTTGTTTCTTCTTGCAAGTTTTATCATATGATTTCAATATTAATTTAGAAAGAATCTCTTTCACTACAGTGTTAGAAATTAGGTTGTGATTTTTATGTTTTAACTGTAGTTTAGCACTTCTAAAACTGTAGAATGATATTTAAACTAAAGGTTTCAGTTTAACATAAAATCAATTTCAGTGGTGATTGTGCCCTTCCATTTCCATTTTATGTTACAAAAGCTAGGATTATGAAAATTTTGTACTTGCTGTGCATGATATTTTAGTACTTATAGTTCGAAAATTCTGAAGTAATCAATCAGCACTTGCCTACAAGGGTGTGTTAAACAATGTAATATTAGTGCTATTACTTAAAAACTGAAATAATAAAAAATGTTAAATTTTACCCCATCTGGTATTAAACAAAATTCACCTTACTGGCCAATAGTTATTTCTATAATATAAACTGTAACTTAATATTTTTGCCTTCTTTTTTGTTTATTAGAATA